TCCGAACGTGTTCACGGACAACGTTCGCCATATAAACCTATATAAAATAAAATCTGAACGTATACGTTCGTGAACGGACGAATGAAAAATAGACCCCCTGATTGACACATTTTCTCTGTATGGTGTATAAGTCGGGTACTTTACAACGGGGCAATAAGGGTCAACGGCTCTCTCATGAATGTTGTTTACAACCATCGTACCATAAGTAGCCGCTGTTGCATGAGCTTCGCTTACTGTAGGCTCCTCTTCAGCATACAAACACCGTTGCAGGTCCTCGACTGTAAGATGATTTTTCACAACGTGACCACGTATCCCTTTTGCCTTAATTTTTTCTTTACCCTCCAAGTCAAAACCATAACATTTTGGTCTTAGACTAATANTTATATTTTAGGTAAATATGTTTATCTAAAAGGCAAGTGTAAGGGTCAAACCTTTCTTTTGTTATTTATGACCGTTCGCTAACGGATGGTTCCTATCATACGTCGTGAACGAACATTTTTTATTGTTCTAAACGGTCATAATGATTAATATTAAATAGCGTTATTAGAAATGTAATTTTGTACAAATAAGGAACATGTATATTTTTTAAAGAACAAAAGGGTTTTAAATGAACCAAAGTAATATTAATTATAGAAATAACATTAATAGATTTATTCATTGTTTTACAAATTTACACACAATGTATCTGTAGTACCAATGCGCCATAATGAACACGGATTAATTTGAATGCAATTCATTGTTTTTTAATATTATACACAATTTATCTGTTTTTTTCTTGGAACATATTGAACACTTTTCGTCCTCAATGCAATTTTCACAATACCAACCATGACCACATGGTATCATTATGTAACTCTTTGACAGTTCATCATCATCATCATCTGTTACTTGACTGCGACACATTACACAACGTGCTTCTCGTCCATCTAAGATACATCTTGGTGGTAAGGGCTCATACACTAATTGCAAACATTGAAAATTAGTTCGTTTTTTAGTACAAAAGTTTTGATGAGTAAACGGCTATTTTACATTTCACTCAAGAAATTTAAGTAATATAAAATTTTAACGGGAATGTCTTTTGCGCATCAATAATCGTATTATGAAAAATAAAAGAGTTTTAAAAAATAATAATTTTTGTTTTAATACCTATCATATTTAAAGTATACATAACACGTATACTTTAAAAATATAAATATGTATTACATTTTTCATTCATTTTTCACTACAAAAAAAGTAATTATGTCATATCAGACTATAAAGAGAAAAGAATTAAATATTTCCCCTTTCTGTGGTGCAAGATTTGTTCATAAAGAAATTTTCGATATAATTTTTAATTGATCTACTGAATATTTAAAAAATATTAGAAAAAAAAATTATATAAAAGGGAAAGAAATCGACCTCATACTTTAAGGTATGTTAACAAAATGTAAATTTTTATAACCGGCCACACTAAATAGCCTTTTTTAAACTCTTTTCTTACAAAAAACTTTGATTATTCCATGATAATTTTAAGAAAAGTAAAGCTATTTAACAATTCCATTGCATAATATGTTATATTTATATTTGTTAAAATATAAAAAGGCAATATTTGTTAAAAAAAAAAATTGTTTTACGAAATAGTATTTGTAAAAGAGTTATTAGATTTGTCATATCATATTGATTGACAAATTTCATATACTATAAATGAAAAAAGAGCTTTCTCTATATCAACTTTATTTAAAAATTNAAAGAGCTTTCTCTAAATCAACTTTATTTAAAAATTCAACTTCCGTACTCTCCTATTTTGAATAAGATTTAAAATTTCTAATAATTTTTTTTCGCATTCTATTTCTTTAGCTATTGAAAAAACAATAAATTTTATATGTTTATATATTTTTGAATATAAATGTATTTCTGTTAAATTTAAAAAGCCATAACAACAATAATATATCGTTCTAGCAGAAATGTTATAACTACTATTTAAAATAAACATGATTTCATTTTAATTATTTTTGAAAAATTTGTTATTGATAATATTTAAAAATATTTCCATAAAAAATTCCTTAACAGGTTACTAAGTAAAGTTTTCAGTAAAGTTTTGAGTTTTCTAAATTAGTAAATCATGTAATTTTTAGATTGATAAGGGTCTTTTTCCCGCCCTTAATTTGTAATTATTAAAATTGAAGATATATAACTTTAACGTTAGTAAGACTAATTGATAAGCAAAAAAAGGTTCTTAGACCACCAATGGCGGATACAGAGAGAGGCGCAGGGGGCGCCCGCCCCTCCTCAGCTACTGGCTTACTGATTAAATAAAAACACCTTCAATTAGGACTTGGTATCTAAAAATCTAAAAATTATAAGTGCATGCGAATTGTGTAGGAACACCCATTGCTTTATCGAAATAACATCAATAATAGAATATATATGTACTGACATACTGTATTATCACTCTATATTGAAGCAATTGTGTTATTTATGGAACACGCTACTTGTATTTTTTATTTTAAATTTTAACGATTGCTTAAAACATGGTTAAGGCCCAAAATGAGTGCAGATAGATTAACAGGTCCTGCTTTGTTGTATATTCACAAAAATATTAGTATTCATAATAATATCAAAAATATCATTGATAGATTTGCTAATGACAAAAAAAGAAAATTAGATTTTATTCTTTAATTATTTTAATAGTATTCGTTACAAACTTAGGTGTTAAGCTATAATATTGTAAGAAATGTATATATTTTAAAACTAAAAATGCTGTTAGTTTGTTATTTTGTTTATAATTTTTACTTTACATTGTTATTTTTTATGTTAAATTATTGTTATCACTATTATATGAAAACAAAAGACTGTTAATATATTTTGAAAATTTATGAAATAGTAAGTAGGTATTAAACTGTACTAAATTATGTTAAAATAATAAAGATTACCTAATTATTTGACTAATTTAATTGTAATATGTAATTCAAACAAATTTTCATTTGCCCCGGGCTTATAACATTATAAACTATACTTTAATTTTCATTTACCCCATACACAATATACTATTTGGGACAAATGGAAATTTGTAGGTATCGAATATATGAAATAATATAACGATATCTGTAACAGAACAATTTCATTTGCCCATTATGTTTGTTCAATATAACACTTGCTGTTGGAAATAGATATTTTCATTTACCCCAGAAGTTTGGGGCAAATGTAAATTTTTTATGCAATTTTATATTATTTTTTTCTCTTAAGATAATCAACTATTTAAACGTTTGATTGAAATAATAGACACATATTGTATATAGTAAAATAGTTTTTATCTAAACCAAAATTAAAAAAAATTATTACTACATGAATCTAATAAAAGTCGTAAAACATGTAAATTTCATTTCCATTTAACCCACTTGACCCTATATTTTGTTTTTATTTGGTAAATAGCTTATAATTTCAAATGAAGTTCTTCATATGCAATTAATTTTGATTAACGCGTTTATTTTTATATACCTATGTCCTCAGAGTCATTAAAAACCATATACTATAGTAATTAAACAAATTATTATGCAGCAAGCATTAAACGAATGTTTAAAAATAGAAATGTAATAAACACAAAATAATAAATCAGTTCTTAAAAGAAAAATATGTATCTAATGACGCCCCCCCTGGAATAAATTCTGGATCCGCCCCTGTAGACCACTCAAGTTTTTATTTATTTCAACCTCAATATTTTATTTCATTAATGTTTCAATAAGTAATTATAATTTATATACTTTCGGGTACTATTGACACAGATGTTTGTATATTTAGTTCTTGAGTACTTGTAATCAATTCATTACATACAGGACAAGCTTCAATTTTTTTAACACACCTTTCACATGACCAGCCATGTCCACATGGTGAAAAAAAGTATATTCCCGAATCACCGCTACTGTATTTGTTACATCCAAAACATTTGCTTTCATCTACAGAAAAAAATAGAAAAAAATGTTAAATACTTGTATCGGTAATAATTTCCAGAAATTTTTAATTTTAGTTTTCAGTTCAAAAGCAATATAAGTTTTCTTTTAACGCTTTAAAAAACTTAAAAACTAGTAGCCGAGTATACGAACAGTTGTTTTTTAAACATGTACAGTTATTTACCAAATATATACTTATAGTATAATTTGAGTTTTTTGTATTTGAAAAGAGTAGAATTATGTGCTAAAGACAATTGATAACCTATAACATTATAACTGATATTATAGTAACGTTCTAAGTCGCTTACAGCCATATTATTCATTGATATATTATTAGGTTCTTTTAAAAAATGCACTTTATTTTCCATTAACTTCATGCAGTTTAATAAAGCATTTTTGTAATTTCTGTTGAATTTATTAAATTTGAATTCCTTAGATTTGTGATTTTTATAAACATCTAAAATACATTCATGCGGTTCAGGAGAAATCCATTCTCTATTAATTTTCGGTATAAGTTCAGCAAGTTTTTCACTAAAATTTTCTAAGTAAAATGATATTTCAGCNTTCGGTATAAGTTCAGCAAGTTTTCCACTAAAATTTCCTAAGTAAAATGATATTTCAGCACGTTGTTTATTCATTTCTATTGCAAACTCGCAGAACCGATACATGAATGTAAAGACCATACTTTCAATGGCGTTCAAAAAAATTGTATAAGCCAATTTATAATTTTTTTTGTTCACACATCTACTAACCACAAGTGTTAATGTTTTATTTATTATTTCTAAACCTTCTTCATAAGGAATATCTTCATCATCTACTACGTGACTGTAAGGTAGTGGACAAAACAATACCTCATTTCTTGATTGTATATAATAAGGATGTTGTTGAAGAATGACTTGATGAATATTTGGGTATTCCATTTCCAGAGTCTGTATGTCCTCACGTGTAATGTTATTTAGATTAACACAAATTGATTGGTTGATTGTTTGAATAAAAAAAAATACTAATTTCAATTTATTGAGAAACATATTATTTTAGTAGAATATTTAACACAATTTTTAAATTTCAAAATATTTTATCAATTATAATTAAACAGTTTTGAAATAAACGTATATACTAACTAAAAAAATTGAATTAACAGAATAACTTTAACAAGAGTATTTATAAGCTCTTACAAGTGTATTTTAAATACATGATCAAAAATAAACTTTTATTGTGTACTTTAATAATATATGAACAATTGTAATTTAAAATATAATTTATTAATTATTTATACACGCAAAAATACGAATTTTCTTTAATGAAATGATTGATTGAAAAAAGCAAATGATCATTAAATTAAAAATAAAATACTATATTACTTATGTACCTAATTTAAACTGTTTATTTTGTCTTATATGATTTGATACCAATCTAATTTAAAATCTAATGAAATTTGTAATTATTAAAGCAAAATAACTTTTTAATTACGTATTGTGAAATAGTAATTTTATAAACTATATTTTGACATATAAAAAACTGTTTGTATATTATATGAATTATATCGGTACGACATTGATAAATAGATAAATATATAATTCAATCAGAGAAAGTGCGACGAGTTGACATTTAAGTTTGGCAGGAGATGACTCCCTTTTAATTAGGTTATACATATTTAGTTATTTTTTAGGAATATTTAAATTAAACAATAGAATTTTAACATTCCCGTTAAAAAAGTATTAGAAAGTGACTTTTTTAAATTAATTAATAATCAGTTTAAAATAATGAACTTTTTATCAATTGTTTTAAATATATCAAGAAGTTTTCTAAAAAAATTGTATGGTGAATATTTTCTTATATTAATATTTTCTTTTGAGATTNAAAAATTGTATGGTGAATATTTTTTTTGAATTTAATTAGAGCTTAAGGATGACAACTTGTCCTTGTCTCCTCTAAATGGGTGTAAATAATAAGTAACACAATTTATGCATTGAAGCAAACGCACATGAATTTATTTAAGAATTTACATTAAATTCGTTTAGTAAACTAAATTTAGATTTCAAACTATTATTTATATAATTTATGTTTTAAGAAAGCTTTACAAATAATATTTTTAATTGTTTTAAATAACCTCGGTCAAAAATATTTTTTAGAACGAGTCCATATTTGTTGTTCTTAAGTGGACTGTATAATATACGTTTTTTACTAATAATAGTATTTGTTTATTAATTATAATTATATTTTAAGATAACAACGCTATACTATAAAACATAAAACACTACGTATCGCACCGACCATTACGACGGATCGCGGTGAACTAACTACTGCTAACGGCGATAAGGCCAAGCAGCGCAATCAAAAAGATAACAAACAACAAAAAAAAAATACATTAATATCGGCCAGAACAATATTAAAAATACGTTATATATTGGAAAACAGTTTATGTATTAACTTTTTAATATTTAAATTTTTATAATTAGTAAATCATTTTAATTTATTTTGTTTTATTTATGATAATTTTGCTTTTTAAAAATAATTTCGTTAAAAAAAAAATGTTTATATTATTCAATAATATTCCAAAAATTTACTTTTTAGTTATACAGGCTGAGAAAACTTGTTAGGATTAATAATTTCACATTTCTTATTGTCATAATTAAATAAAAATTTCAATATTTTTCTAATATTGATTTCCAGAAAAATGTCAGATTCAATACGAAGCTGACAGTGATTCAAATCACTGTCATTTCATTTTGAACCTGTCTTGTGATACATAATTATGTGTTCTTTTTAAAAACTAAATAGATGGTTAGAGTCATCTCATGTCTCTACCCAGAGTATGGTTCTTATATATGATCTTTCTACTTAACTCCTGAAATAGACACGTATCAATAATATAACTCTGTACAAACATTATTGATTTATTAAATTTATTTAGTATATTTTTCTATATTGATGATTATTTTTCTTTTTATGGTTTAAAATTAGATAAATTAAATAAGTTGTAAATTTATTTAGTTTTGAATAGTGTAGATGTTTTTGTTGATAAGAAAAATAGTTCAAAATGGACTATCTTTATCCAATATTGTATGTCAAATTGCTTTAATGCCAATAACATCCAGATATTGAAATAATTTTACTTTTTTCATCTAAAAGTACATTGAATTATCTTTTATTTGATATAGATTTAAATAATTATATAAAAGAATTTTTGATATGTTAATATAAGCTAATGTTATTTATTATGAACAAAACAGTTCGCAAAAATATGATTTAAAATTTTTTTATTCTTAAATTTATTTTTATTTAGGTACAATAATATCTAAAGGATCAATATAAATCTATTAAAAGATTTAATATTAAATCTTAATATTGCCATGCGTCAATTATCAAATAAGTATGTTTTAGCTTTACTAATCGTTTTTTTTAATAACAATTCTGTATTATAGCAATAAATTGTATTTTTATTTATTCTGTTTAAAAATATGTATTAGAATTTCTTATAATTTATGTATATGTTTTGACTTTTAAAAGTTAAAAGCATCAAAATGAAAAAAATAAAACTATAAATCACATAATAATTTAAATAAAAAAATTATAACTACAATAGATTAAAATAATAATGACAGCATCACAGTGATATAGAAAATTAAATTATATAAAAGGTTTTTTTATAGTTTCATAAAACCAAATTTTAGGTTATTATTAAGGTTAATTTGTTTTAATGTAATAATATTACCATTGACAGTCAAATAGGCTTCGATTAGAGATATGGTCCCAACATAATTTTTTTAAGAGTACAATTTTCATTTTATATATTTTATATTCGGGAAATTTTATGTATAATATTTCAATTCAAAAGTTATTGAGCAGAATTAATATAAAAAAATGATTATTTCAACAAGTATAGGAAATTAAATTTTAGGTCTTTGTTATTATTAACAGATAAAAAAATTCGACAAGATATTATTCCAAAAGAAAACATTTATGCATATCTAATCTACTAAAAAACTTGATATACGAGTAGTATATACAAAATAATACAAATAAAAAAGCTCTAGTGTATGAAGTACAACTTCAATTATGATATTTAAAAGATTTTTCATCTCCTCCATGTCAAAATCATCTGATAGCCAATCGACGAGAGAAAGAGTGCGATCAAAAAATTTTAGAAATAAAAATAATATTATCGACTTCCTTACGCATATTAATATAAAATGTAAAATAACTAAATCTATAAAATTATGAACAGACAATATAATAAAATGTTAATTTAACATTTTATTATGTCTGTTACCACTTTTTGTTATAATACATACACCACTCATTATTTAGTAGTATATATGTTAGTATCTATTAGTCATCAAATTAAAAATATCATTCATGTTACTTTAAGCTATTCCAAGAAATATGTCTAAAAATACATTGATATAAATCTACTGTAATAATTATAAGAAATTCTTTAGTTGTGACAAATTATCTATTTTAGTAAAATAATATGTAATAAATAACACAAATTGAGTAATAAACAGATAATAGTAAAAGGTCGTGACACTTCTTGCATAGATAGATGAATTAAATTTAATATAAAAGGGCATAAAAACTGTCAATCTCTCTCACTACCATTTCACCTTATGAACTTTTAATGAATGCAAGAAGTGGCTTGACAAAATACGATTTTACATAGAAAATTGAAGTAAATTCATTTTTTCAACATTAGTCCTGAAATCATTAAGGTAAATTCATATTCAAAGTAAATATAATGAGTACATAAATTAAGTAGGAAACCAGAAAAAGTAAAGTGATCTCTAGAATAAAATATTGTCTAAATAAATAAAGAGAATCAATAACGTTTGTACGAAGTTAGCCAGCCTAGTCTAATCTTTGAGTGGNCCGAAGTTAGCCAGCCTATTCTAATCTTTGAGTGGGTTAACTGTGTAGTCAATACTAATAAAGACTCTCTTGCGAAGATAGAGAACCCACTTGTGGTTCCTATACTACTCGAGGTTTTTATTGACTCGACTCACAGTCAGCACAAGCCTAGATAACTACTGGTACGAGTGGCGTTGTTGATGATTTATGTGTGATAATTAATCACAATAATTTCTATTTAAAATTATTATTATATTAATAAATTTTCAAACATCCCTTTGTTTTTCTATATTTTACATCTTCTCATATACCCTCGTACTCATATCCCGAGAGAAAATTATATTATATCATTTTCTTTATTAAATAAATATAATAGTAACTCAATTGTTCTCATGCTCATATAATACCAACAAATATAAATAATTTTAGTAAATTATCCTTTAATTACTAATAAAAATATTCATAGTAAATTTCTCCTTTTATTTTGAGTTACTATATTTTTCTCAGCTCTCACCGAACCGATTTCTATCAATTATACGTCAAAAGATCACAAATTGTATCTAGTCGAAGACATTACCCTCAAAAATTAAAAAAAATTCCCTCGTCTCCTGTAAATGGGGTAAACCTCCAAAAAAATTACGAATTTAAAAATCGCTAATTTTCGAAATTTTTTAAATTTTTTTTACTTAAAAGTGCCATAACTTTTTCAAAAATGAACATATCAATATAATTCTTTTTTATATAGATGCATAATATCATTACCTTTCATTTGGTATATTTTTTTCATAAATTTAACCCTTAACCTGCCCACAAGGGNATCATTTGGTATATTTTTTTCATAAATTTAACCCTTAACCTACCCACAAGAGGGGATTTAAAATGATAACTTTTTCAACTTAACTTTTGAAAATATTCCGGAAGGTGTGACACTTTTATATATATCTTAAATCAAAGCTAATGATATGTACTTTATCATGAAAAAAAAAATTTCGGACTTTATTTTGTCTTCATGGTGAAAATAGCTACCAAATGGTTTTTTTTTTGTGAAAACTCTCGATTTTATTTTTTATAT